TTGAATTGTCCTCTGGTCTGGTCCAATTGTATTTTCCTTTAATTCTCCTATTGCTCATCAAGCTCTTAATATGATTTTAAGTATAAACAGTGAAATAGAGTTTACAATGTGAACACTTTGTGAAGGGAAAGCAAATGTATGGCATACTACAAATGTATACAGAGGCAAGACATGTTGGTAGTGATGGCAGCATCCCTTTTGTGCTACCCATAACTGCATATTTAAAGATGATGACACACTGAGTGTTTTTTCTGCCATTTGGCTGTTGAGGTGTTAACACAATATGGCTAAGTTTGACATGTGAGGCCTGTTATGTGGCTGCCTGGGACAGCCATTGTGAGTGATGGGATGCTGTTGGGGCTCTGATAATGTCCCTCCTGTAATGCTATCTCTCAAGCTTCTGCTCGTTTATGGTGGTCAAATAACAATTACATCATCACAAAAGATAATATAAGCAGAGCCTAGTGACTAGTGGTAAAGGCTTCTAGGCACAAGCTTAGGGCATATCACATTGTGGACTGTACAATGGCTGATCTTAAATCTGACAATAACCGATTCTTAAGTGAGAGTGATTGGTGGATCTATTTTTCATTTCTAATAAAGTATAGAGAGTTATAAGAACAAATGACCTAAAATTCCATCAACAGTTTTTATAATCAATCAGTATACTTAATTTACTGACGAAGATTGGCAAGCTATGTGTCATGTATGTAGACCGAAAATGTCAAATATTCTTGGAGCTATCGGCAAGCTGTTAATTTGTACTTGCTCTTTGCAGTGTCTTGTAATAGTTGAACTAAGGAATGTCATACAAGTCTTGTGGGGATTATGTCATACAAGTCTTGTGGGGATTATGTCATACAAGACTTGTGGGGATTATATCATACAAGACTTGTGTGGATTATGTCATACAAGACTTGTGGGGTTTATGTCATACAAAACTTGTGGGGATTATGTCATACAAGACTTGTGGGGATTATGTCATTCAAGACTTGTGGTGATTATGTCATACAAGACTTGGGCTTATATCATATAAGCCTTGGGGGAATTATGTCATACAAGACTTGAGGGGATTATGTCATACAAGGCTTGGGGGGATTATATCATACAAGTCTTGTGTGGATTATGTCATAAAAGACTTGTGGGGTTTATGTCATACAAAACCTGTGGGGATTATGTCATACAAGTCTTGTGGGGATTATATCATACAAGACTTGTGTGGATTATATCATACAAGACTTGTGGTGATTATGTCATACAAGACTTGTGGGGATTATGTTATACAAGACTTGTGGGAATTATGTCATACAAGACTTGGGATTATATCATACAAGACTTGTGGGAATTATGTCATACAAGACTTGTTGGGATTATGTCATACAAGACTTGTACTGGAAAATCATACTTTTGTTTTACAAAATCATAGTGTGCATACAAATACACAACAATAGCAACACCATACTTTTGATACAAAATACCACATCTTAAGTGTTACTGTGTGAACCTGTGCTGTCACTCCTGTGTAGATACGTCTGTCGTGTTTATGGTGTGAATGGACACTGTCACTTTTGTGTGGAAATTTTTTCTTTCCTGTATCTGGATTGCTTGTAGATACATGTGTCCCATGTGGTACACCAGGTGGGAAAATGCTTTCCCACATAGGTGCACCAGGTCACTTCAATTTGGAAATGGCAATTTTTTCTAAATCTTGCCTAAGGAACGCAAAAAACAGATGTTCAAAATATTCTTACCAAGTCAGCTGATGTTCTGAAATCTGACGTCATTTTGATGCACGGCGTGACATCATAAACTTGACATTCTGGTCACCAAAAGAATAAACAGTCGTCATCTGACATCACCTCATGGAAATAAACAGTTTTTCAAGAAACATATTGTGAAATCAGTTTCCAAAAAAACATAATTCCAAATTTTTTAAATTTCAAAGTAAACAGGTTTTCCTGCACGTCCATAATATGACCTAGATAAACTTGTATGGTATCTAAAAAATCCACTATATTTATCGTTTGCAATATCATTGTTGATATTTACCTAATTTCCAGCTCAGAGGTGGGAGACAAACATTCCATCATTTTGTAGGTTAGCAATAGAGAAATTCTACCTTCGGGTGTAGAATTTAGGCTCAGAACCTTAGCCTCCAATCTGACAACAATTATTCAGCACTGTAAGGTAGACTTTCCCTATCCCCAACACTGACCTAAGATAGATTCTGTTACACAGTCACTCCTGTGATGAAACAAAGAAAACATGCGGCTAATATCTCAATCCTCACATGTTGATTTGTTTGTCCTGTCATGATATGGATAGCCGAAGCCTGTACAGAGCGTAGCTTGCATTCATCTCTGATGTGTACTGATTCAGAATAAGACAAGATAAGCTTTATTTGAAATTGGCAAGTCGATGAATAACGATTAAACACATGATCTAACGAGCTTTTGAGAACATCATTTATGTAGATTTTTTGTATCATAGATGATTGGTATTCAAAATATGATTTTTGCATCAAAGAAAAAAAAAAATTCTAGTCAAATCTAAAGGAGAGATTGTTCTTGTGTGCAACTTAGATGGTGGGTCGGGTGGCGCAGTGGAAACAAGAGCTCTCGTCTTCACCAAGATGACCAGGATTCATCCTCAGCAACTTGCCAACCATGTATTTTTTCTCTGGGTACTCTGGTTTCCTCCCACATTAAGAGTTAGACCATTTGTCACGCTTCCATCAAGGCCAAACAGATTTATTACTATAATTTGGAAATAACCTGGTTGATAATGCTCTTTTGGAAGGTGTGTCGGGGTAGAAATAGTAATCTAACCTGGTTGATAATACTCTTTTGGAAGGGGTGACGGGGTAGAAATAGTAATCTTACCTGGTTGATAATCCTCTTTTGGAAGGTGTGTCGGGGCAGAAATAGTAATCTAACCTGGTTGATAATACTCTTTTGGAAGGTGTGACGGGGTAGAAATAGTAATCTTACCTGGTTGATAATCCTCTTTTGGAAGGTGTGTCGGGGCAGAAATAGTAATCTAACCTGGTTGATAATACTCTGTTGGAAGGTGTGTCGGGGTAGAAATAGTAATCTAGCCTGGTTGATAATGCTCTTTTGGAAGGTGTGTCGGCGTAGAAATAGTAATCTAACCTGGTTGATAATGCTCTTTTGGAAGGTGTGTCGGCGTAGAAATAGTAATCTAACCTGGTTGATAATGCTTTTTTGGAAGGTGTGTCGGGGTAGAAATAGTAATCTTACCTGGTTGATAATCCTCTTTTGGAAGGTGTGTCGGGGCAGAAATAGTAATCTAACCTGGTTGATAATACTCTGTTGGAAGGTGTGTCGGGGTAGAAATAGTAATCTACCCTGGTTGATAATGCTCTTTTGGAAGGTGTGTCGGCGTAGAAATAGTAATCTAACCTGGTTGATAATGCTTTTTTGGAATGTGTGATGGGGTAGAAATAGTAATCTAACCTGGTTGATAATACTCTTTTGGAAGGTGTGTCGGGGGAGAAATAGTAATCTAACCTGGTTGATAATGCTCTTTTGGAAGGTTTGTCGGGGTAGAAATAGTAATCTAACCTGGTTGATAATACTCTGTTGGAAGGTGTGTCGGGGTAGAAATAGTAATCTACCCTGGTTGATAATGCTCTTTTGGAAGGTGTGTCGGCGTAGAAATAGTAATCTAACCTGGTTGATAATGCTTTTTTGGAATGTGTGATGGGGTAGAAATAGTAATCTAACCTGGTTGATAATGCTTTTTTGGAATGTGTGATGGGGTAGAAATAGTAATCTAACCTGGTTGATAATACTCTTTTGGAAGGTGTGACGGGGTAGAAATAGTAATCTTACCTGGTTGATAATCCTCTTTTGGAAGGTGTGTCGGGGCAGAAATAGTAATCTAACCTGGTTGATGACACACACAATCTTCAGAAACTGTCCACATTTTTACTTTTTGTGCTTGTGGCAAAAAAAACGATAAAAAAAACAGTAAGTCCTGACACACCGCCAGAAAGTTAACGCAACGGACATCAGCTCCGAGGTTTTCCCGTTATTTTTCACATCCTAACGGAAATAACCAATGAAGGCCGATTGAGTATGACGTGTTTGTGATGTCATAGAAAGATAATCGCTGAACAGAGTATTTTGCATGCCAGTATCGCATTTTACTTAATGGACTCATTTTCACTCAAATGTATGTTAATTTTTATAATATATCTACACTTCTTATTTTAAATATATGTTTATATTCTGTTTCTGTTATTACCCTTGGCAACAGATGTAAAATGGTGCATCTCACTCTCACGAGAATACGCCAAAGGATAATTACTACTTTGTATTTCGTATTGAAATTTTCTCTAAATAAAACAGCAACACCTTTGGTGCCACAGAGCAACGCTCTTATACATTTATAATTATTTGTAAGAATAATATTTGTACTATCCTACATAAAGATATACATTTGTTTGTTCGATACATTTCTTATTTCTTGATTTTCTGTTTTATTTTACTACATACAAATGAATACTTATTTGATATGTTGTTTGATTTGTTTGATACATTTGCTTGTGTTTACAGCTATAGTTGTTTTGATATTCACCATTTGTTTACTTTGTTGTTAAAGATATTACATATTAGACAGATTGTATGTTTATATTTCTGTATGAGTTCGTACAAAGACCACAATGTATTTGCTGAGATGCGTTGATATAAGAGCTCGTGCGAGGCCAAGCCTCAGATCTGCACTTTCCAGTAACTGTATTTTTCTCATTAGTTATGTATTAGTTTCAAAAGGGACATTAAATTGAAGAAATTGTCAATTTTTTATGATTTTGGTTTTATTGCTAGTGTGAATTGCAATTTGCAATTATCGACTTAATAAGAGATTGAAAAGAAAATGTGAAAGCTGTGTGTTTATTAGATATTGTGGTATTGTTATTACCTGTTGGTTAGATGACTTTGTGAGTAGGACATTAGAGTGAGTGTTTTATATTGCAGGACTGGAGACATTGTGTTAGGGACTGACTTGTTGTCAGGGGATGGGAAGTATGCATTCTTTATACTCTACTGATTATCTGTCAAGCTAGCTCTCTCCCTCTGTACGGGGATTAGCTCTCTCATAACGAAAACTCACTACCATATAAAGCTTCTTTTGTGTAACCCTTTTCTGCTGTGTGATGTTCACCATTAGTCTCCAAAGCTACCATCACAGCCTTGTAACTAGCATTTGACCTATCTCTGTGATGGGGTGTTACAACATCATTTCTACCACAATACGCTGTGTTATTCCACTCTCAGACTGTTGAATAAATATAAGTTATACACCACACGTGGTATATGACCTTCCGTATTTTTGATTGGTCGAGAAGATGAACCTTGACCGGACAACTTTTTTGTTTACGTCGTCTGCTGTCAACATCCGGCAAATGTTTTTGTGAGGTTATGCGATGGGAAAGGGGGTTATTTAGGCAATACCAAAAGAAGATGATGCTTAAAGATTTGATCTCTAGTTTCAGGCAAAATTGTTACAGACGCTTGATATCGTTTCGACACAATACTGTCGCGTGTCCAGGTTGTGAAACCCAGAGATGTAATAAACGATATATGTCTCTGTGAAACCAAAACAAGATCTGTAACAGTGTCCCGTTATCAATATTTGGAGGGCCTGTCTATGGCGGAACTCTCACTATCTCACTATAAACGTCAACCATAGAACCTCACAAAGAAACGCCCCAGCCCTATGGCTTTGGACATTGACAGCGATTAGTTCTTCTTCATCACTTGGCGGGAGGCAGACCTCATACGATATGCTTACACACATATAGTCCGTGGTTAATTTATATTAGTTAATGCAATATTGCATACTCTCAATATTTAAAGTCTTTCATCTATTTTATTTTTTCAGAAAGTTGTTGCCGAAACATTTATTTTGAAAATTATTAAATTTGTAAAAAAAAGGTCGTTTTTGAATATTAATGAGTGACTTTTTACATATGGGTCATATCACTACGCCAGCCTTGTCAACAACATGTGTGTATGCTATCAGGAAATACTCCAGCTGTTTCCGACTGAGATTGTGGTAGAAACAGATCAAACGACTCGTGATTGTTGAGTATGGTATTTATTTCACTCTCGTTAGTTAATTTCAAAAGTTACAGAAAGACACTCGCTAAAGCTTGTGTCTTTTGTAGCTTTTGAAAATTAACTAACTCGAGTGAAATATAAAAACCATATTCAATAACCACTCGTGTAACCACTATGTATCTATACTGTAGATCTACACTGTCTGGTATTATTAATATCTGTAAACTGTTGGTTCTGTATGTATGTATGTACACTGTGGGGTACTGTATGTATGTACACTCTTGGGTACTGTATGTATGTTCACTGTGGGGTACTGTATGTATGTACACTGTGGGGTACTGTATGTATGTACAATGTGGGGTACTGTATGTATGTACACTGTGGGGTACCGTGTGTATGTACACTGTGGGGTACTGTATGTATGTACACTGTGGGGTACTGTATGTATGTACACTGGGGTACTGTATGTATGTACACTGTGTGGTATTATGTGTATGTACACTGTGGGGTACTGTATGTATGTGCACTGTGGGGTACTGTATGTATGTACACTGAGGGGTACTGTATGTATGTACACTGTGGGGTGCTGTATGTATGTACAATGTGGGGTACTGTATGCATGTACACTGTGTGGGATTATATGTATGTACATTGTGGGGTACTGAATGTATGTACATTGTGGGGTACTGTATGTATGTACATTGTGGGGTACTGTATGTATGTACATTGTGGGGTACTATATGTACACTTTAAGTATATATATAGTATCAAGTTCTACATGAGACTTGATTTTCGTTGTCGTTGATCAAGGTTAAATAGTCAAAGGTCAAGGTCAAAAGTTATATTTTACCACTTTTTAAGTAGAAAGCTTGTGTACAAATTACTTCATGAATCCCTCAACAAATTCAGTTTATACTTACACCACAGTATCATAACATTAAGTTTACACCTGATTATATGTTGGTCGTCATTGGGCAATGCTAAAGGGTCATAGGTCACAGGCAGAGAACACACGTTACAACTTTTGAAGAAAAAAAAACATGTGTACAATAATTTAACCACTTACTTTAGTTTAAATGTACACTACAGTATGTCAACATATGACTTCTGCAAGTTATTAGATTTTGGTGGTCATCAGTTCAGGTTAAATGGTCAAAGGTCATGGGCAAAGTGGTATTGGTAGGATTGGCGGAGGTGTGGGGAGTATATATATGTGATGTTTCACTCACTTTGTTTTTTATTTTATTAACTCAAGTTTGGACATTCTTAAATTGAGTGGTTTGGAATTCTTAACTTTGAGTGCTTGCATATTTGATTGTTTAGATGTATTTGATCATTGAATGAATATAATGCTTAGAACTGGTTTGTTAGAACTATAAATTGATATGATCAATAGTGTTTTGCTTGAATCAGAAATAGTTATATATAAGTTTTAAAATTCTTATATTTCCTGATTTGTAGTTGTAGTTTTAAAAGGTTTTATTTTCTAAACTGGACTCTGTATAGTGACAACCATGCAAATTTCTGATATTGACATTAAACAGTTGCTATGCTCTGAAAGCTTTCTGCTTTCATACCTTTATAATGATGGAGAGCTTCATTCCTTTATAGCATGATCTATACAAATCATCTGCATTTCGGTTGTTCTAATAAATTTAATAATACATTTTAATGTGTATTAGAATGCTTGAAATACACAAAAAATACATTATTCCAGTGTTGATAACAATTATGTTTGGACCTTAAACAAATATTTGTAACTCTCATAGAACTTAAAGGAAAGAATAAGTCTGCTGTGTCCCATTACATGTGATAAAAGGTAACTTATGTGGGTCTCCATGTAGAATCTATGTTCAAAACTCCTTCTTGTTTCCTAGTGCCTTGCTTGGCAATACCTCACTTCTTGTTTCCTCGTGCCTTGCTTGGCAATACCTCGCTTCTTGTTTCCTAGTGCCTTGCTTGGCAATGCCTCACTTCTTGTTTCCTAGTACCTTGCTTGGCAATACCTCACTTCTTGTTTCTTAGTGCCTTGCTTGGCAATACCTCACTTCTTGTTTCCTAGTGCCTTGCTTAGCAATACCTCACTTCTTGTTTCCTTGTGCCTTGCTTGGCAATACTTCACTTCTTGTTTCCTAGTGCCTTGCTTGGCAATACCTCACTTCTTGTTTCCTAATGCCTTGCTTGGCATACCTCACTTCTTGTTTCCTTGTGCCTTGCTTGGTAATACCTCACTTCTTGTTTCCTAGTGCCTTGCTTGGCAATACCTCACTTCTTGTTTCCTAGTGCCTTTCTTGGCAATACCTCACTTTTGGCCTTAGTATTTAGCATTCTCAACAAAGGGTAAAGGGAATAACCCAAATTCAAATACCCAAATAATGCCCTACTATGTTAAAGAGTCTAGAGCTTTAACTTATTAACCAGGACATACATTGTAAATTACCTGATCTGTCATATTGTGATAATTAATATATCAATGTTTTCCAAAAAACACCTGGAATGTCATTGGTGTTTTTGCACTGACTTGAATTACAGAGCCCTTTAGTGTTACTTTGACTGTTCTCAAGCTGAATTTGGTAAATGCTTGATATATTGCAAATATTAACCCCATATTTGTGAACTACTTTTGTCAATATTTCTATGAAAACTAACTCAAAAATTATTTACCAGCATTGATGGGAATTTTAGGTCACCTGAGCTTTGCTCAAGTGACCTATTCTAATCGCTTTTCGTCCCTCGTCGTCCATCGTCCGTCGTCCGTCGTGCGTAAACTTTTACATTTTCAACTTCTTCTCAAGAACCAGTGGATGGATTTTTTTCAAACTTGGTCAGAATCATCCTTGGTAGATGAGGATTCATACCCCAACCCCTGGGGCCAGGGCAGGGCCCGAAAGGGAAAATTAACCAATATTTCAAAAATCTTCTTCTTCAGACTCAGAGGTACTACACTCATTTTCTCTGCTTGGAAAGAAAGATCATCAGGGGCTTTACTTAAATTGTAAATTTCAGGACCCCCGAGCTATCCGTTCTCCCTTGGGGAGGGGGTAAAGTTTACTATAGTTTATATAGGGAAATAACACTTTTGGGTATATTTTGACAACTTTCTGTAGGAAATTATTTTTACTTGGTGAGAATTATCCTTGGAGG